CCCTGTGTTCTGGGATAACTCTTTGCTGCTCTTGAGGTCTGTTACTGAAGTTTTACTGGGATTTGTAGCATCCCAGAAGCAGAAATCCAAGTTGGATATTATTCTGGTCATGGAAGGGAACTGTGGAAGGAGAGAAGTTGTAGAAACTCCATACAGGTAACTGCAAGGTGCCTTTTTTTTTTCTTTTTTTGAAACAGGTACAGAATTTATAAGGTTACCCCAAATTTCTTAATGCAGAGAAGAAGGGAATAACATCTTAGCAGTTGATGTTAGCTTCCCTTGAGGTTTAGACTTGTAAAGATTACAGCTTTAATTTTCTTTTTTTTCACCAGGTGAAAGTTTTATTTGTAAGAAACTTGGCCACTACTGTGACTGAAGAGATTCTTGAGAAATCCTTTTCTGAATTTGGGAAGTTGGAAAGAGTAAAGAAGTTGAAGGATTATGCATTTGTTCATTTTGAGGACAGAGGTGCAGCAGTGAAGGTAGGTTGATTACTCCTTCCTAACTACCTCGATGTGAGCAGTTTATTTTGTACAGATGGTTGTAGTAAATTTCATTACAGTAAATATCTTGATAAGACAGTTTGTAGAGCCCATTTAATAAGGTTCCCATTGTAAGAATTTTAACACTAATAATTTTGTTCCTATGATTTCAGTAGCTAGGAGGATGTGAAACTTGCAAAGGACAAAGCTGTAGCAAGTTAACAAGTAGACTGGAAAAGAGATAGAGACCAATGCAGGAGAGTCTAGAGAAGAGGAAATAAAAAAGCTCAACCTAGACAGTTTTTCTGAGGAAGCTCTGACAGAAGGTATCAGTTGTCCCTCAAAGACTCCTATCTAAAGGGTGTGTGTAGTTTTGGAGTAACAGAAGTATTGAACAGAAATTGCAGAGTAATTAAAAAAATGCCTTGTGAATGGGAGAAGAGTGGCACTAGCAACTTCCTTATCTCCCTTACCTATCTTTAACTCTACGTTTTCCCTTGAAGGTTCCTTCTAAATGACTTCTTAAACATTGGAGATCATTATTGTATGCTTCACAGGCTTCTTCCTTTGTATCTAAGAGCAGTTGAGAAGCTCATTAATCTCTGTTGTTTGTACTTCAGTGGGTTGAATTCTATAGAAATTGCTGTTTTTAAGTTCATAGTTTACAGAGGGAAGGAGAGAAGAGTGTTGTACCTGGGAGTCTTGAGCAAGTATCTACCTGTAGCTCAAAGGTTCTTTACTCATCCTTATTAATAATTTTGTGACGATTTAATCACTTCAGTTTTCCTACCCACCAAAATAGGGTTTAGAGTACTCCTGAGTTTGGCTTTAGGATGAATGGCACTGGTATTTAGTGAAATCAAAGCCAGTTTGGGGAAGGTTTAGACCATGTCCAGGAGAGGGAAAGA